AAAAAAAAAAAAGGGACAAGAATTGCTTGCTGTTTTATGCACAGAGACAAAATGGAGTAGGTCTCCTAATTCAGTCTTCTAGGCAAAGGAGAATCAGAAACTTGTTGGTTCCTTTGGACAATATGTGGTCAGAACACAAAGTTTTAAAAGAAATGTTCTAAGCTACAGTTCTTTGGCCAACAGAATAAACAGCAACAAAATAACAAAGAGTTAAGGAAAGGAGTTCTATGCTCCAAAAATTACGTTTTAGCAAACATAAGCCTGAGTGTCCCTGGATTCTTGCAATCCGGCTGGGTCATTTGTAACTCTTCATGCCCCTCAGAAAACAACAAGTCATGGAGAGCCCCTGGTTTTTCATAGCATGGGGACATACCCACAGGACTAAATGTTGACAAGACCTACAGCCCTCCATATCCCTACTACTCAAATGACAGTCAGTGTTGTGCATGCCAGCCAATTATCTAAGTAAACATTAGTCAACAATAATTTGTGAAACACCAGCTAGATGCAAAGCTCAACAGTGTGCAAGGCTTCTATTTCACATTTATCGAAATTTTTTCACTTTTCAAGAGGGTTTCCTATCAATTTAATCTTGTCTTTTCCATCAATTTAAAATTGGCTCAATTTAATCTCCCAGAAAACTAGAAGTCATATAAGTCAAGCATCATTAGCCCCACTGTGTAAGTAAAACAGCATGGTACTACAGAACAAACAACAATGGCAACAAAAAATCTTTGTTTTTTGTTCCAGCTCCACCTCTGTCTACCATGAAAACTTTGTAAAAATCACTCACCTCTTAGAATCATCACTATCTCATCTGAAAAATGCGGACAATGATTCTGTCCTTAGGGAATTGAAAACATTAAGAAGAGGTGCTCAATAAATGCTACTATGGCTACTGTCATCATCAATTAGTAAAATGAGTTCCATAGAAGTAACTGTAACTTCTAAGGTCACACATCTGCCTTGTAGTAAGATGAAAACCCAGGCTCACCCCCTTAACCCCAATCCAGGGTTGTTGTTGTTGTTGTTGTTATGTGCCGTCGAGTCGGCCCCGACTCATAGCAACCCCTCCTTGGGTTTCCGAGGCAGTATCACTACGGAAGTAGGATTGCCCAACCTTCCTTCCGAGGAGTGGCTGGTGGGTTTGAATCACCAGCCTTCTGGTTAGCAGTCAAGTGCTTTAGCCATGATGCTACCAGAGCTCCTAATCCAGGGTTGTTTCCACTAAAATAAATAGTTCTGCTGACTCAGTGACTGACCCAATTATACTTGGTATTGCCAGCCAAACTATGATCCTTTATGTGGCAAGTGAGTTCATTTAAGAGCCCAAATGTCTGTTGTTCATTAGCACAGATGCTGATGGCAAAAAAACAAAAAGCTCTGAATCACAGTGAATACAGAATTTATCACGTGGCAGGACTAGATTCCTGCACGTCAGCCAGAGGCTGGCCTCAGAGGGGCAGACGGAATGTGGGATCCTCCCCCAATTACCAATTTCTGAAGCTCTGGAAGGCTCTACAGTATCCAGCAAAGGCTCCACGTGTAAGAAGAGGCCTCCTCCACTGGTGTTGATGGCAAGGCCAGAGGGTCTTACCAACATCAAGATCCGATGTGCTCCAAGTGATAGCATGCCCATCTGACAAACCACAAACGTTAGGTTTGAAAAAATAACTTCACAACTTGTTTTATTCACCGTAATCTGAAAGGCCTGGGAGTCACCAGAGAAGCCAGTTCCAGTGATATAAACCAGCATGTTGATGTCATTGTCTTAAAGGAGGAAAAATAAACAAAATCATCTCTCAATGATATCACTCCATTTAAGAGACTTTACTCTAACATCAAATGTTCATTCTTTCTCACTTTCACCTCTCAAAATCCAGGTTGTTGATTGCTGACTCAAATATTGAACATTTGCATTTGCTTGGAATACTCAGTCTCCATCTAAAGTTTTCTCAAACTAGCAATGAGAGATCATTGCTCAAAAAATAAATAAATAAATAAAAATAAAGACTATTTCAAAACAAAGGACAAAGAGAATATTTTAAGTCATAAAAAGTCCACTTGCCTCTATTTCCAAATCATGCCCATATTATCAATGTGATTGTTGTGTTAGAGACCATCAAGTCCATTCTGACTCACAGTGATGCCATGTGACAGAGTAGGGTTTCCTAGGCTATAATCTTGATGAAAGGAACCCTCATAACACAAAGGCTAAAGCATCCAGCTGTTAACCAGAAGGTCAGTGGTTTGAACCCACCAGTCGTTCCACAGGAGAAAGATGAAGCAGTATGCTTCCATAAAGATTTATAGCATTGGAAACCCTATGGGGCAGTTCTACTCTTCCCTATAAGGTTGCTATGAATAAGAATCAACTTGATGGCAGTGGGTTTGGTTTTGGGAATCTTGACAGGAGCAGACTACCAGGTCTTTTCTCCTGTGGAGCTACTGATGGGTTTGAACCACTGACCTTTTGGTTTGTAGCTGAGTACTTAATCAGCCAAAATATTTCTGCTGCAACATTCAACCTCCTCTTCATGAACTAATGCATCTTCTACCCACCTCATCACTGGATACACAGTCTCCAACAAAATTACTCAAGTCTAAATTTATGCCCAACTCAGTGCCAAGCCACAGATCATACCAAGAGAATACCATGCAGAATGGACCTGGGGAGTTGAGCCTTGGAGGTACTGAAAAGAACAAGAGCCTGAACAATGAGCTGGTATATCATTCACTCGCACAACCACCTGAAAAATGCAAAAGAATTAAAAACAAATGTATGCATTCCATATGCACAAAGGTATTCATAAAGTACTTATACAGTTTTCCAAAATTAAAATGTGTTAATGATTTACTTATTCACATCTCTTTTCTTCTATTTTCCTGGTAATAAACCCTAAATTATAATGAATGGCTCAAATATGTCAAGCTTTATTAAAAGCATGGTGGGTATGCTGAAACCTAATATTTTTCCAATTAAATACACTAACCCTTGAGTAAATTCCCTCTCTGTCTTCTACAGAAGTAAGCTGAATATAATTAAAACAACACAAGGACTTCATAACACTCTGTATTTTCAACTAAGTACTCACTTCCTGTGAAAAGTTCTTTCTTTATTGGTAACTGCCAATGAAGCAGGCACCTTCCTTTCACCATCACTACATGTCTATAGGGCAAGTTCTGGTAGATCAATGAGTAAGTGCTCAACTGCTAAGCCAAAGTTGGTAGTTCAAATCTACCCAGTGGCTCTAAGGGTGAGAGATCTGGCAATCTCCTTCCATAAAGAATATAGCTAAGAAAATCCTACTACTTTGTCACATGGGGTCACTATGAGTCTAAACTGACTCCATGGCATCCAACCTCAACAGAGTATATTTGGTTTGGGGCCTATTTTTGTGCTAGAATGGTAGGTCCTCAAGAAGAGACTATATGTCTTTCCCTCTCTAGAACTAATATTAATGCAGAACTCAAACTATATTCAGAGATGAGAAAGGAGAAATAGATGTGATTTAAATTGCCTCTCTACAAATAAAAAATTATAAGAATACACTATGAGTATTTATTTATAGAGGGTAAGGAGCCCTGGTGGCACAGTGGTTAAATGCTTGGCTGGTAACTGGTAAGTTAGTGATTTGAACTCCCCAGTCTCTCTGCAGAAGAAAGATATGGCAGCCTGCTTCCACAAAGATTACAGCCTTGGAAATCCTATGGGGCAGTTCTACTCTGTCTTATAGGGTCACTATGAATATTTCCTGAATATTACAACTCAACTTGAAGGCAATAGGGCTTTATTATTATTATTATTATTATTATTATTTATACAAGGGAGGAGGATCAAAATGGCATGGGTGATTAAGGACTTAGTGTTATCTATAACGTTTAATTTGTTCATAAGGACAAAATAAATATATCAAAGTGTTGACAATAGTCAGTTCTCAGTTTGGGTACCCAGGTGTGGGTAATCTTGTTTTTTGTAGTTTTTGCATTTTAAATTTCTCTCAAGTTAAAATTAGAAGATTTATAACAGGAGTATGAACAGAAAGAAAAAAGGACATCTTAAAGTGAGAAGGTGTCAGCTTATTTACTTTCTGGTTCAACTGTGTGGAGACATAAATCCTAGTTAGCTATAAGATTCTCTATTATTTTTACACCATAATAATAGTGTTAACAATTGTAATAATCTAATGTTGTATTTACAAAGCATTCATTTTTTCATAGTATTTTACAGGGAATAGAAAGAAAACAGTGCTAATTGTCTGTTTTACTGACTGGAAAAATGATCCATGGGAGCTAAATCAAGTGGGCCTCGTTACAAATCAGTGAGAAGCTGAGTTAGACTGAAGCCTGTATTCTGAGCAGCCCACCCACTCTCACCTGAGTGCGCTGGTTGGTGGTAACCAACATGTCTCCAAATATGGGTCCAAGAAAAACTCCACCATCATAGAGTACACGAGTAGTTACAGCAGAGCTCACTCCAGTTAGATTTTCATCAGAGACCTGACATGGTTACATTTCTGGTGAATTTTGGCATGAAATAGAAGTCTAATCTTGATTAAAATAAATGATAAGGGGTCGTTTCACATTCTGTTTAAGATAATCAGACAGTTAGAAAAGTGAAAATGGCGTGACAGAAGGTTACAAAATCTAGAAGCTAGCAGTAAGTAACGTCTAATGAAAGCCTCAGTAGACTAGAGGAATATTTATTTGCTGCTGGAGCTGCCTAAAGAGGCACAACACCTCCATCTTCTCTGTAGGTCTGGAGATGCTTTGCCCCTATGTGCTCCTCTATTTTACGTGTGTTTGCAATCCAAAACATTGTAACAGAATGTAAGAAAACAAGTGTTATGAAATAAATGCAAAGATTTCCATCTTTCCTCTATTTCCACCCAAGTATTATGTTTGAAAACCAGATGACTGGGGTAAAATTTCATCTTGGGCTTCATTTTATAATAACCAAATGCTAGATGATTGGTAGATTATTTTTTAAAACACTAAATATGCAACTGCAGCTGGTTTGTCACTATCCAAGACAGCAAATATTTTTCCAAACTTCCTTCTGCTATGCCATCTGCCTCCATGATAATCTAAGTCGATCACATCTGCTGAAACTACCCAATAACAGATGTAGAATTATTGTATGGTGGACACTGACCGACAGCTTCTCTATGGAAAGTGAATTGGGAAAGAAAAGAATGGGTTTAAATTACTTCATCATGGATACGAGAGACAAAAACATTGTAGAAAAACTTCAGGAAGAAAGATCATGGGACCCCTTTTCTTGACTATTGCAATAAAATTAATAATTAATGACAGTTTCTACTTATATAATTCTGGTTTTTTGTTTAGTTTTGCCTTTACACAATTGCTCCAGGGCACCAAATCCCTACCGCCAAAGGAGGTATCATACATACCCTGATGAAAATGGGCAAATCCCCAATCTGCGTGGACCAGGAGAGCGTCCACACGTGTTCATAGCAAGAAATTTGATCTTCCTTCACCGTCAAGTCACTGACATTGAGGTACCTAGATGTGACATCATCAGTACTGTTCTGTAAGAGTTTGCGAAGATGGTCAGCAGAAATGTGCACGGGGATGCCTACGGGAAAAGATTTTTATATAGAAAATATAAGACACCTTGCAAGCTCTCACCATCAAAGGTAACAGAAATAAATGTCAGGAAGTTGACTAAAATTTAGAGGAAACCCTCAAGGTCAATAATAGCTTCAAGAGAACACTAACAAAATAAATTAATAAATAAATAACTCAGTGCGGTCGAGTAGAGTTGATTCAACTCATTTGGTCTCCAAAGTGGTATTGCTACAGAAGTAGATTGCCCAATCTCCCTTCCGAGGAGTGGCTGGTAGGTTTGGCCCACCAGACTTCTGGTTAGCAGTCAAATGCCTTAGGCACTATACCACCAGAGCTCTTTATATGATAGATTTAAAATTAAAAAAAAAAAAAAAACCCACTGCCATCGAGATCCGACTCATAGTGACCCCTCCTTGGGTTTCCGAGGCAGTATCACTATGGAAGTAAATCGCCCAACCCTCCTTCCGAGGAGTGGCTGGTAGGTTTGAGCCGCCAGCCTTCTGGTTAGCAGTCAAGTGCCTTAGGCACTACGCCACCAGAGCTCTAGTTAAACCATTTTTCTCTAAGGCAGACACAAGTAGCTCCTCACTTTCTACTGTCCCTGCATGGTTCAGACTGTTAATGTACTTGGCTTCTAACCAAAAGGTTGGAAAATTCGAGTCCACCCAGAGGCACCTCAGAAGAAAGGCTTGGTGATCTACTTCTGAAAAAATAAACCATTGAAAAGCCAGTGGAGCACAGTTCATTGTGACATACATAGGTCACCATGAGTCAGAGCTGACTCAGTGGAAACTGGTGCTGGGCCCACTTCTGACATGGTGATGCCTTCAATCAGTATCACTATCACATAACAAGCAAGAGCACAGTTACATCAGAGAGAACCACCTCAACACTATCAGCTCTGAGTGTAAACGCCTGACACCCTGGGAATGCCTGAAAGTCTAATTAAATAGTGGGTTTTCCCTGGAAAAATTGAGCTGGACCTGAGAACAGAAAAAAGTTGGCTACCTTTCAGAGAGTGGGGGAGGCACATAACAGCTGACACCCGTAAAAACTTGGTCAACCCAGCTGAGGAATGTTGGCATCCAACTTCAGTTTCTCTATTAGAATCCCCTTTAAGCCCAACCACCTGCTTCCCCATTCCACATCCCCACAGAGAAATAACACCACTCTGTGTTTGAACCCTGCTTATGACTGAACCCTGCTTCATGCTTTACCAAAAGTTTCCATTTCATTAGCTACTCACAACAGCCTGTGAGGTGGGCCAGGTGGGTATCCTAACACCGACTTTAGAGATGAGGAAAATGAAACACAAGGAGCTTCAGAAGCTTGCCAACCAAGTGAGAGAGGTTTAGATTAAAACCCAGGTTGCCTTCTACCCATTCAATAGGCTTGCCTTATTCCACACTGCCCTGAGGGTTAATAAAAAATGCAGGTTTCCCTTGCTATCTGAAAGTACAGTGTTCCTATGAAAGCTTTAGTAAGCCAAATGGCATAAAGCAAAGAAGTAATTTTTCACATAGCAAGGAATGTGAGGATAGCGCAGGACCAGGCAGTGTTTTGCTCTGTTGTACATACAATTGCTATGAGTTCGTGCTAACTCGATAGCACCTAACGACCACAAAGAAGGAATTAGCATTAATTCACATGGGAAAATTTTTTGAATGTTCACAGACCCAAAAAATAACCTACTAAATCATACCAAATAACACATAAAGCCTAAAATAACACTAACATATAGTGTTCACAGACACAGTTCAAAGCTAGGGCAGCTGGATGCTGAATATCGTTCCTGGGGAAGGAGTCACTCTCACAGCCACAGGTGGGCACTGCCTTTTTACCAGCTTGCAGCAAAACATATGCTGATCTTCTTCATATATTTCTTGGTTAATGAAAACAGTACAAATGTAGTCTTTCTTAAAAGTGAAGTGGTGTAAAACAAACTCAAAAAGCAGGAAAAACCTGTACCATATTTCTAAAAAGGGGCCTTGGCAGCACAGTGGTTAAACACTCAGCTGTTAATCAAAAGGTCAGTGGTGGCAGCACAGTGGTTAAACACTCAGCTGTTAATCAAAAGGTCAGTGGTTCAAATCTACCAGCTGCTTCACAGGAGAAAGATGTGGTAATCTGCTTGCATAAATATTTATGGCCTTGGAAACCCTATGCAGCAATTCTACTCTGTCCTACAGGGTTGGTAAGACTCAGAATCAACTTTCTGAGTATAGTCTCCTCATCAAGTTTATTATATTTTATAAGAATATGTATATATATGTGTGTGTATGTATGTATGTGTATTTATATATATATATATATATAGTATTTCTAAAATGCAAACAAAATTCTCATCTTTTTTAGAAACATTTTTAACACTAATACATAATTTGAGGGGCATCACCATTTCTAAAGACCAAGTTAAGGCTGATTTTGCCCAATTGTTTTATGGGCAGTGAAGTGAGGAACATTAGCAATAGAACATGGTGGGAGGTAACATCTCTCCACCAAGAACAGTAGCTCCTGCCCATGAGAAGGCAGAGAAACATGGTACAATACTAAGCATCACAGAGGCAGAGCATTCCTGCTCCTTATTCATCCATTTATCATATGTATTATATTTAACCTAGGGACCTTCAACTTATCCCAAGTTGTCCTATCCCAGTAAACCACTCCATTCCTGCTACTCAAGAGAATTCTGTACAAGCCCCTCATCTTTCTGCTTGGGAGAGCAAAAGAATTCTGGACCATGCATCCATTTTCACATGGCCATTCTTGAGTTCTCCTGAATCTCCCTTCTGATTGAATGGTTTCCACCAAATAAATAACCTATCATAATCACTTCTAATCTTTGTTCTTCGTGAAATGTGTGTCTTCTTAAATATTTAGACATTGTTCTACACAAGTGGTATCTAAGAGTTCTTTCTACACTTGTTATAATCAATAAAATCCTCAATAGTAGATGGTGTCACATCAATTATAACTGAAGGACCATAGCCACCATGAAGCTTGGATCAGGGAACTCTAGAGAGAAAAGTACCAGGGAACCAAATACCTGAGTTCCCATCTGGGCAAGTGTCAGTATCAATATAGTGGTCTAAACAGTAGCCCCTAAAAGATTTGTTCACCTTCTAATCCCTGGAACCTGTGAGTATTACCTTACAAGGCTTGTTGTTGTTGTTGTTATGTGCCATCAAGTCAGACCCAACTCATAGCGACCCCTCCTTGGGTTGCCGAGGCGGTATCACTACAGAAGTAGATTGCCCAACCTTCCTTCTGAAGAGTGGCTGGTGGGTTTGAACCGCCAGCCTTCTGGTTGGCAGTCAAGTGCCTTAGGCACTATGCTACCAGAACTCCCTCACAAGGCTAAGAGTGAATATTACTTTATATGGCAAAAAAAATGTGGTCAATAAAGGGCCAAATATAGTATGCCACTTATATGAAATATCTAGGATAGGCAAGTGTATAGAGACCAAAGTTTGAGTGGTTGTCAGGGGTGGGAGGAAGGGAGGAGAAAAGGGGGACTCACCGCTTAGGGAACTCTGAGCTTCTGTGAAGGGTGATGGGAAAATTTGGAAATGGATACTGGTAATGGTTGAACAGCACAGTAAGTATAACTAACGCAGTGAATTGTATATATGAACAATTTTGAAAAGACAATTGATTTGTTACATATATATCTACCACAATTATACACACACACACACACACACACACACACATATATATATATACCAAAAAACAAACTCACTGCCCTCGAATCAGATCTGACTCACAGCGAACCCTCCTTGGGTTTCAAAGGCAGTATCGCTACGGAAGTAGATTGCCCAACCTTCCGAGGAGTGGCTGGTGGGTTTGAACTGCCAGCCTTCAGGTTAGCAGTCAAATGCCTTAGGCACTATGCCACCAGAGCTCCTGCATATATAAATACATAAATACACACACACACACACACACACATGTGTAGTTGCACACAAGTATATACATATATATGCATAATTATGTATACATATGCCTTACTTTTATCCATATATATAGGGGCTCTGGTAGCATAGTGCCTAAGGCATTTGACTGCTAACCAGAAGGCTGGAGGTTCAAACCCACCAGCCACTTCTCAGAAGGAAGGTTGGGCAATCTACTTCCATAGTGATACCACCTCGAAAACCCAAGGAGGGGTCGCTGAGTCAGGTACGGCTCAAAAACAGTGTGTTTCATTTTGTTTATATATATATATATGTTGTTAGGTGCCGTCGAGTCAGCTCCAACACATAATGACCCTATGTACAACAGAACAAAACACTGCCCCGTTCTGTGACATCCTCATAACTTTTGCTATGCTTGAGCTCATTGTTGTAGCCACTCTGTCAATCCCTCTCTTTGGGGTTTTCCCCTTTTTTGCTGACCCTCTTCTTTACCAAGCATGAAATCTTTTTCCAGGAACTGGTCCCTTCTGACAATATGATCCAAGTATGTAAGGCAAAGTCTAGCCATTCTCAATACAGATATTGCTTCTTAGAGGCAAGAATGGTGTGCTCTCTCATTCTCTCTCTACATACACACACACACACACATGCACACACACATATGTGTGTGTGTGCATGTGTGTGTGTGTGTGTGAGCTCTGGTGGCATAATACCTAAGGCATGTGACTGCTAACTAGAAGGCTGGCAGTTCAAACCCACCAGCTACTCCTCGGAAGGAAGGTTGGGCAACCTATTTATGTAGTGATACCACTTCTGAAACCCAAGCAAAGGTTGCTATGAGTTGGATCTGACTCAATGGCAGTGAGTTTGGTTTGGTTTGGTTTGATATATATATGTATATGGATAATTCAAACAAACCAAACTCACTGCTGTTGAGCCAAATGCAGTCAAATGCCTTAGGCACTATGCCACCAGTGTTCCTACATACATCACACACACATACACATATGAGATTTAGTTAAGAATCTTGACAGAAGGAGCTAACCCTGGATTATCCATGTGAACCCTAAATAGAATTGCATACATCCTTATGAGACAGAGACAGAGTTGAGACAGAAGAGGAGAAGGTAACGTGACCACAGAGGCAGAGACTGATAAGGCCACAAGCCAACAAACTCCCGCAGTCACCAGAAGCTGGAAGAGGCAAGGGACAGATTCTCCCCTAGAATCTTTGGAGAAGCATGGCCCTGCTGGCATCAGAATTTTGGACTTCTGGCCTCCAGAACAGAGAAAGAGTGAACTTTGTTGTTTTAAGCCACCAAGTGTGGCCATTTGTTATAGCAGTTCAAGGAAACTACAACATTAAAAGGCTGGGATGTTGTTTACCTGAAGACACCCCTAGAAATGTAACTAAGAAGTACTGCATCCCCAAATGCCTCTTTACCAGATATCACTGTATTAGAAAGCTGAATCCGAAAACGTCCTCCTAAAGGCGGACTTGCCCTCTGTAGTCTCTGTGTTGTCACCTGGACTAATTCGGAGCCTTCATCTGTTCCTTCATCCTGCAAAGAGCTGTGGCATATCAAAAATAAAGCATTAACAACAGCGACCCTCAAGAAGTGCCACACCAAACAAAACATAACCTCAACGACCAGGCAATCTCCCATGTTTCCAAGCCATGAGCTACAGCTCCCAAAAAGTGATGTCCCTGTCTTATCATAGTAGGAAACGTGTAGAATAAGTACTAGAATTCTCTAAGAGTACTCCACCCAAGAGCCTGTGCTGATCTGGAGAGAAAAGTGATGTTTCTGCCTCCACTGTTGTGACCCTAAAGCAGAGTTAAAAGGGAGCTTAGTTTTCTCTAATCCATTTGCATAATCAAAAAAAAAGTCAGTGTTCTCAGATGCTCTGCTGCCCAGTATTGCATCTGGAATACAAGCCACTCCACCTAGCAAAGTTCCTATCTAGTCCCCTTGTACAAACACACTCCCTTGCCTAATCCTGCTTTTAATATAACAACTGTGTCAAACTGTGATGCATCATGCAGTGGAATACACTTCAACCACTGAAAATCACACTTTAGGAGGACACTTAATGAATACCACAATTCAAATGCCTCAATTCTTCTTCAGTATTCCTGACTCATTGTTCAGCTTTCACATGCACATCATACGACTGAAAATACCATGGCTTGGCTCAGGTTCATCTTAGTCCGCAAAGTGACACCTTTTCTTTTTAACACTTTAAAGATGTCTTTTGCAGCAGATCTACCCAATACAATACACTGATTTCATGCTTACTGCTTCCATAGGTGTTGATTATGGATCCAAATAGAATCCTTGACAACTTCAATATTTTCTGTTTATCATGATTTTTGCTTATTGGTCCAGTTGTGAGGATAGTTGTTTTATGCTGAGGTTTAATCCAAACTGAAGGCTCTAGTCTTTAATATTCATCAGTAAGTGCTTCAAGTCCTCTTTGTCTTCAGTAAGCAAGTTTGTCTCATCTACACATTGCAGGTTGTTAATGAGTATTCCTCCAGTCTTCATGGTGTGTTCTTCATATAGTCCAACTTCTCGGATTCTTTACTCAGCAAACAGACTGAGTAAGCATGGTGAAAGGATATAACCTTAGTGCACATCTTTCCAAAGGAGCTCTAGTAGTGTAAAGCATTTGGCTCCTACCAAAAGGTTGGAGAGTTCAAACCCAACAGCTGCTCCATGGGAGAAAGATGAGACAGTTTGCGTCCCTAAAGACATACAGCCTTGGAAGCCCTATAGGGCAGTTCTACTCTGTCCTATAGGGTCACTATAACTCGGAATCAACTTGATCACAGTGGTTTGTTTTGGCTGGCTTTTTTTTTGGGGGGGGGCGGAGGGTTTCACACCTTTCCTGATTTTGAATCACACAGTATTCATTTGTTCTATTTTCAAACAACTGCCTTTTGGTCTACGGACAGATTCTGGAATTCTCATTCTTCATAATGTTATCCACAATTTGTAATGATCCACACCGTCAAATGCCTTTGCATATCCAATAAAACACAGGTAAACATCTTTCTGGTATTCTCTGCTTTCTGCAAAGATCCATCTGATATCAGCAGTGATATCCCTCGTTCCACAGTCTCTTTTGAATCTGGCTTGTTTGGGTTACTTTGTGCTGCTCTAACAGAAAATACCACAAATGGGTGGCTTTAAACAAACAGGAATTTATTCTTTTACAGTTCGGGAGGCTAGAACTCAGAGTTCAAAGTGCCAAGCTCTAGAGGCTGGGTGAAAGCCCCCTGACATTGGGCTTCAGCTCTGCCTCTTGCTCCCGACCCACTGAAGCCGGAGACTTTCTTCACTCAGGCAGCTCCTGGCTGCTGAGACTAACAAGCCCAAGGTTGACAAATAAAATGGCACAGTCCCGATATTACCACATGATGCTACAGGCTACTAGTTCAAGTCCAGAGACAGTTCCAAGATCAGCAAGAAACACAGCAGGCTGCTAAAAGAAGACTCAGCTACATGCAGACAAATGTGCCAAAAAGCTGCAGACCATTCCCAAGGTTTCTCCTTATATACCAGAAGCAGCCCACATCCCTAAAGCAGCTACTCAGCTGCTCACAGAGATTCCACCATTGATTACCAATGGGAGCTCTGGTAGCATAGTGCCTAAGGCACTTGACTGCTAACCAGAAGGCTGGCATTCAAACCCACCAGCCACTCCTTGGAAGAAAGGTTGGGCAGTCTACTTCCATAGTGATACTGCCTCGGAAACCCCAGGAGGGATCGCTATGAATCAGGTCCCACTCGAGGGCACATAACAACAACAACAACCATGGGGAATAACTACATCCAGCTGCCCAGCCACTCAAAACCAGGCCCAGCCAAGTTGACACATAACCTTAACTTCCCCACGGCTTGAATTTCTGGCAGTTCTCTGTACATGTATTGATGGTACAGTTTTTAAATTATCTTCCGCAAAACAGTAACCAACCACACCGCTCACTCCCTGACATCTAATCGATTCCAACTCTGTAAATCTTTATGGAAGAAGACTGCCTCATCAGTCTGCCTCGGAGCAATTGGTGGGTTCCAGCAGTCAACCTTTTGGGTAACTGCCAAATGCCTTAAGTACTAAGCCCCCAGAGCTCCTTAAAACAGTAACTAGTGGCCAGAAATAGCAATGTTTGAAGCCCAAGAAGTAACACAAATGGGGCTCTAGTACCACCTGGTGGTTAGTTCTTAGAACTAGCTACTTTTGTTCCATAGACTTTCATACCACTTTCAAGGACTGGAAAAAGATTAATTCATAGGAATGGAATGAAGGGAAAGGGGTGGAACAGTGGCAGTGTGAACTTGTGAAAAGCTTTAAAAAAAAAAAATAGAAATATTTTTAAACAATTTCATTACAAACTAAAGGCTTTCATCCTTTAAACCAATCTTTCTCAAAGTATGGTCGCTAGATTAGTGAATCAGGATCAACTGGGACTTCAGGAGAAAGGCAAATTCTCCCGCCTCCCCCCAGATGGGCTGAATTACAAATTCTGGGGCTGGAATCCAGCACTTTGTGTTTTAACAAGTCCTCCAGGTGAGTCTGATACTGCCTTCTCAAGTTTGAAAAACCACTGCTTTAAGCAACAAGACAGGCAGCTTTCCCTGATAAAATAAGCCCCACCTCTGTGCCCCCAAAACCAACTAACAAGCCGAAGGAGGAATAGACAACAACGACTGCTCCCTACCTTGCAGTGATGAGCGGGAGCTCCGTGCCACACCCAGTCGACCAGAAGGTCACATTGTAGACTGGAGGAGACCCCAGCACAGAGAGTGATTCCACCAGATTGCCCCCTGGGCGAGCTGTTCCAGAGTCAGCTTGATAAACTAGACACCAAAAGTTCAGTTATTATTAAGTAACTCAGGATGGGAGACCTGCTGTGTGGAAAATCCCAGCTGGAGATGCTGAGTTACTTGGACCTCAGCACATTCACTTAAAGCAGTTCTACTCACCGGTTGCCATGTAAGCAAAGGGACAGGAGACAGGAGGACCCACTATTCGGTTTAGTACCAAAAAGAAAATGCAAAGTCATGGTTCAAGGAAATGAACGTTGATTCCATAGTAAGCCCCAAACCAGCCAAGTATTACTCCCTGTGTCATTGGAGGCAACCTTAGAGGTAATCTATTGCTGCATAGACCTTGATCTTTTCTTTTCCTTGACAAACGCCCTGGCAACACCTAGAATGCACAGCTCATCTTTTTTAAAAACGATAACTACACCGGGTGATTGGAAAAAAAAAAAAAAAAAAAAGTATCCCACTGCAACCTAGTCCATTCCAACTCATATAGACCCCAAAAGCTGACAATCTTTAAGGAAGTCGATTGTCTCATCTACCTCCCCACTGGTGGGTTTGAACTGCCGACCTTCTGGTTAGCAGCCAAGTGCCTTACCCACTACGCCACCAGAAATAAAGAACTAGTAAAGAGGCCATTCGACTGAAGAGACTCCTTACCTAAACTCCCATGGAAACAAAAACGAAACTTTAGGCTAGCCAATCATATGCTACCAACTCAGCTAACTTTACATAATCGGTGCCCTAGTCCTATAAGCTTAAAATAAACACTTGCTTCTTACCAATCATGGGCTAGCTTGCTTCACTTCCGGGTTTGCCTACTAAAAGCACCCCCCTCCTGAGGAGGGGCCCACAGCCACTTTCAGTTTGGGCCTTGGGGGAGTATGCATGGTTGTGTGCTGGAGTAAAGCTAACATTTCATTAAAGACTGATTTTCTCTTTTAAACAGAGGCACGTAGTAGAAGTACTCAAGTATTTATCCACAGCGTGGGGTCCTGTGGAAGACAGCTTGTGTGGAAAGAGTGCAATCTTGAGACAGACGATTGCTCAAATCCCGATTTTTTCTACTTATTTTGAAAACCAGTTACCCGTGGAGTGGACCTTGACTTATGGTGACCCCATATGTATGTCAGAGTAGAGTTGTGTCCCACAGGGTTTTCAATGGCTGATTTTTCAGGAGTTGGTTGCCAGGCCTTTCTTTCAAGGTGTGTCTGGGGCACTCAAACCTCTAACCTTTTTGTTTAGCAGCAGAACATGCTAACCACTTGCACTTATTGTGTAACTACCAGCTAATCGTCAAACTCTTAAGACTCCGTTTTTCCCATAATTAAAGTGAGGACAATGACACATCACCCTGCATGCCAGAGAGAGTTTAGTGTTCAGCAAATGTGTTGTTGTTGTTGTTAGGTGCATTCGAGTAGTTTCTGACTCATAGCGACCCTATGCACAGCAGAACTGAACACCACCGGTCCTGTGTCAACCTCACGATTCTTGCTATACCTGAGCCCATTGTTGCAGCCACTGTGTCTATCCATCTTGTTGAGGGTCTACCTCTCCTTTGTTGACCCTCCATGTTATGAAGCATGATATTTTTCTCCAGGAGATGGTCTCTTCTTACAACACAAGCAAAGTAGGTGAGACAGCTGCACTTCTTCCAGGACAAATTTGTTAGTCCTTTTAGCAAACTACAGTACTCTTAGCATTCTTCTCCAACACCACAAACTCAAAAGCATCAACTCGTCTTCAGTCTTTCTTATCCATTGTCCAGCTCTCACATGCATAAAAGACAATTCAAAGTACCATGGCTTGGGTTAGGTGCATCCTAGTCTTCAAGGAGACGTCTTTGCTCTTCAGCACTTGAAAGAGGGCTTTTGCAGCAGATTTGCCCAATGCAGTATGTCTTCTGATGTCTTGACTGCTGCTTCCATTGGTGTTGATTGTAGAACCAAGTAATATGAAATCCTTGACAACTTTAATCTTTTCTCCATTTATTCTGAATCTGTTTATTGGACCACTTGTGAGGATTTTTGTTTTCTTTATATTGAGGTGTTATCCATACTGCAGATGGTAGTCTTTAATCTTCATCAGTAAGTGCTTCAAGTCATCCTCACTTTCAGCAAGCAAGTTGTGTCATCTATGTATCACACATTGTTAATGAGTCTTCCTCCAATCCTGATGCCACGTTCTTCTTTATATAATCCAGTTCTCAGATTATTTGCTCAGCACACATATTGAATAAGTATGATGAAAGGATACAGCCCTGATGCACTCCATTCTTGATTTTGAACTACACAGTATCCCTTTGTTCTGTTCAAACAACAACCTCCTGATCTATGTTTAGTACCAAAAAGAATATGCAAAGTCATGGTTCAAGGAGATGAACGTTGATTCCATAGTAAAAGTCATTAAGCCCCAAGCTCATAAGTAAAATCAAATGTTCTGGAATTCCCATTCTTCTCAATGTTATCCATAATTTGTTATGATCTACATAATCGAATGTTCTTGCATCGTCAATAAACATAAGTAAACAACTTTCTGGTATTTTTGCTTTCAGCTAAGCTCCATCTGACATCAGCTATGATACCCCTCACTCCATGTCCTCTTCTGCATTCCTGGAAGTTCTCTGTCAATATACCACTGCAACCATTTATGAATTATCTTCAGTAAGAGTTTACTTGCGTGCGATATTAATGATATTGTTCAATAATTTCCACATTCTGTGAGATCACCTCTCTTTGGAATAGGCACAAATAGGTATCTCTTCCAGTAGGTTGGCCAGGTAGCTGTCTTCCAAATCTCTTGGCATAGCCGAGTGAGTCCCTCCAACAGGGCATCCGTTTGTTGAAACATCTCAATGGGCATTCTGTCAATTCCTGGAGCCTTGATCTTCACCAATTCCTTCAGTGCAGCTTTGACTTCTTCCTTCAATACCATTGGTACTTGATCATATGCTACCTCCTGAAATGGCTGAAGATCGACCAGGTCTTTTTGGTACAGTGACTCTGTGTATTCTTTCCAACTTCTTTTGATGTTTCCTCCATCATTCAACATATTGCCCATGGAATCTTTCAATATTGCAGCTGAGGCTTAAATTTGTTCCTCGGTTCTTTCAGCTTGAGAAATACGGAGCATGTTCTTCCCTTTTGGTTTCCTAACTCCAGGTCTTTGCACATTTCATTATAGTAATTGGCTTTGTCTTCTCAAGCTGCTCTTTGAAATCTTCTGTTCAGCTCTTTTATCTTGTCAT